AAAGTCTGGCATTTTCTATAATCCTGCAGAAAATGTTGCTTCAAAAACCTTAAAAAATCCCTCACTGGTTGGCATTTTTCATGCATTCCCAGCATAGAATTTACAATGGGGATTCCTTGAGACAATGGGATTTTCTGCACCTGGATTTTTCCTGACTTATGTCTGGTAACCTGGGGGCATTTCAGAGACCATTGGTCAAACTGAACCCTCTGCCATCCAAGGGTTAATACAGTATGGCCCCACTGCTGCATTTGTCTGTGAAATCCTCATGGAGCTTGGAATAAGACGTAAGATCTTGCACGCCAAATATTTTGCTTGGAATACTTCAGGTCAAAACTTTTCACTGTGTAGTCCTTTAAATCCTTCAAGTTGAGTTTCCAAATTTTTTGTTCGTGATTCAGGAAGAGCAAAGCTTGGGAACCCCAGAACCAAAGAAAGGTTTGGCCAGGGGGTTTCTGGCCTGTGATCAAAAACCTTTTTCTCTCTCTCTCTCTCCCTCCGTCTCTCCGCATCCTGGGAAAGTCCCTTTTTCATCAGGGGCGGCTGCAGGTCCTGGGGAGGGGTTCAATTTGCTGAACGTCTCCCAATCGCGACTCTGCCCAAATTGCTTCTGCTTCCCCCCCCCCCCCCCCTCTATCTGCTCACTGGTCTTCTTCTTTGAACAGCTTCTGAGTTGTTCCAGCAATAGATCAATTTTCAAAATTTACAAACAAGATTTCAGCTTTTTTTTTATAATTCATATTTTGGAGAGCTTCAGTCACGTATCCAGAGAGCTTGAGTCACTGCCCAGATATTCGGGAAGGTTTTTTTTTTAAATTAGTTCAGAGTGTCTTAAATTCAAGCTGTTTCCAAGTCAGAGCTTCAATTAGCCCTTGTGCAGCAAAGTCAGGAATATTATTACAACAGTTTTTCCCCATGAGCTTTGCAAATCTTAGAAAAATCTGATTTATGAACCAAGGCCTAAGTTGGGGAAAAGTCTGGCATTTTCTATAATCCTGCAGAAAATGTTGCTTCAAAAATAAAAAATCCCTCTCTTTGGTTGGCATTTTTTTATGCATTCCCAGCATAGGATGTACTTTGGGGATTTCTTGAGACAATGGGATTTTCTGCCCATGGATTTTTCCTGACTTCTGCCTGTTAACCTGGGGGCATTTCAGAGACCTTTGGTCAAACTTAACCCTCTGCCATCCATGGCCAGGAACCCTCTGCCATCCAAGGCTTAATACAGTATGGCCCCACTGCTTCATTTGTGTTTGAAACCCTCATAATGGAGCTTGGAATAAGATGTAAGATCTTGCACGCCAAATATTTTGCTTGGAATACTTCAGGTCAAAACTTTTCCCTGTGTAGTCCTTCAAATCCTTCAAGTTGAGTTTCCAAATTTTTTGTATGTGATTCCGGAAGAGCAAAGCTTGGGAACCCCAGAACCAAAGAAAGGTTTGGCCAGGGGGTTTCTGGCCTGTGATCAAAAACCTTTTTCTCTCTCTCTCTCTCCCTCCGTGTCTCTGCATCCTGGGAAAGTCCCTTTTTCATCAGGGGCGGCTGCAGGTCCTGGGGAGGGGTTCAATTTGCTGAACGTCTCCCAATCGCGACTCTGCCCAAATTGCTTCTGGTTCCCCCCCCCCCCCTCTATCTGCTCACTGGTCTTCTTCTTTGAACAGCTTCTGAGTTGTTCCAGCAGCAAAACCTCTCCCCCCCCCCCAACCACCTCCTAGTTTTCTTCTCCAGGCCTTTCCCAGGTCCTCGGAACTGCTTTTTTTTTTTTTAGAAAAGAAAGTTGAATGCAATCTGGAAATTGCTCTCCAATCTCTGGCCTCTGGACTTGAGCCAGAACTGCTCCACACTTGGTGAATCTCTTGCCTCCATCAGGCCTTTATTCATCTTTTTGAAGTTCTTTTCACAAATCATCCGTGTATACATTCACATCTAGCACATGGTATCCAAGCTGAACAGATGTGCTGGCTGATGAGCAGAAAGGGATCTTCCCCAGCTTAAAATTCCACTTTCTTCCAGTTATTTTAGTCTTGCAGTCCAAAATTAATGTGCCCGTTCCCATGTGAATTTCAACTTGTCATCAATAATTTATCATACAGTGAAACCTTACTTCGTGGGAGCAGCACATAATTCCAACTAGGGAAGTTTTTGAGTTGCAGAAACACACAATTTTAAATGGAAACCATAATACAGGTAGGTAAATTGATGAATGGAGATATACTGTGACTTGAACTGTTTTGTGAATGAGTTGAGTAGTGGACAGGATGTTTAACTTGGAGGAACGATTCATTTGTCCAATTAGTCACTAATTTGCTTCAGAAAAGCATTATGGAATATTTTTATTGCCTTTCTCTTTTAAATTTTTTTAAAGAAATAGCACAAGACTACTGGAAAATTAGAATTGTACAGAGGTTTAAGGGGAAATGGTTTGAATTTGTGAGGTCTGAAACATGTTTTTTAATGAATTCAGTCAGGGTTTCAACCAATTTGTCATTTAGAGGTTTGAGCGTAACTGTGTAGTGATGCCTGATACAAAAAAAACATACAGTAATTTCCTCAAGCACTCACTGGGTTTTTGTACAATTGATTCTGCATGAAAATAATATTTTTGCAAATACCAGGTGAACCTTGCTAAGTCAAATCTCCCTAAGTCAAATACCTCCCTAACTCAAATTTGTTTCAAGTCCCTGTCTGGATTCCCATAGAAACAATGTACTGTATTAAAAACCTCCTTAAGTCAAAATATTTTTCTCTCAAACCTCTCTAAGTCAAATTTTTAATGCATTTTGGTTATTATTTCCTTGAAATATGAAAGAGAAAATCAACAAAATAAATTGTTTTATGCATTTTGAAATAAAGTGAAGGACTAATTGGACAAGTGAACCCCTGCCTGCAAGTTCAGCAAGCTTTACACTTATTACTGTATTAAGAAGCAAGTTTAGGCCCAGAATATCCTCATCTACAATTTCCCATTTTCCTTGGAGCAAAAATATTTGTTTCCTTCATTACCCCAAGTCTCAAAAAATGTAAACCTCCCCAAGTCAAAACCTCATCCCTAAGTCAAATTTTTTCTGGTCCCTAGAAATTTGACTTAGAGAGGTTCACTTGTAATAAGTTTTTCCTTCGCACGAATTTTCTTTGTAGCCCAGCAAGGGTAAAAATTGCACAGGAAATTGTTTTTCTACAGAAAGGTAATTGTAAGACATATTTTTAATGTAGATTGCATTCCTGTGCAGTATTTGATTTCCAGAGCATTGTTTTTGTTTGCAGCGTAATATTCAAACACATTACATGCATTTGGATTGTGCATATTTGCTGTTTTGCAGAAGTGGAATGCAAGATTTTGACTTTGTCTATCTGAGACTATTAGCAGCAGTGCCAGGATTTATCTGCAGAATTTTGTGCCACAAGGAGTTGAAAAAGGGGGAAACAAAAATTATTAGAAAAGCCAAAGTTGGGAAAAATCCCTAATTCGTCTAGTATTTATGCAGAAAAATTCTGACCATAGGATTGGAAGAGCATCAGAACACTTGCTTTCTTTTTGTGGGATTTTTCTGGACTTCGGCTACTCAGCCAAAGCTGTATTTTGGTGACCTTTGGTCGAACTGAAATGCAGAAGCCTGCAAAAAAAAAATGTATGCCCTGTCACGCAATGGAAAAAGAACCCGCCGCCACCCAAGGGTTGAAAAAGAAAATCCCTCTTTATTACATGGTTCGGATGCCTGAAACCTTAATATTGTTTTGTCACATAAAACAATCGGTCGTTCCGGATAAGCCCAGAAAGCAGCTATTACAGCAATTTCGGGTCCGGAAGATTAGCAAATAAATCCAAAGAACGCGTAAATGGAAAAAAGGTTGTCTCTTTCTCTCCATTTATTTCACTCCCATTTTTTTTCTCTCCCAGTGGAACAAATGCATACAATACCGATTCAAAATGCTCAATCAATGCTTTGAACTTGGCATTTAAGAATGAGGCGAAAGATTTAAGCCAACAAATTTTTTCACTCTATAGAGAAGACCATGGAAGCAAGCTTTCTTTGGCATGAACAATTTTGCTTACCGCTCGTTTCCTTTCGTACACATCGTCATTTGAAGAAAAAAAAACAAAAGCAGAAGAAAGCTGTAAATGTTGGCTAGATTTTTCTGAAAAGGTCAAAGAATGATTCCTCATCATGACCTCAGACGATTTGTTTTTTTCTCTTCTTCTTTTCTCCGACTATCACATTAAAATCATGCCTGCATGAGACTCCCGAATACATATGTGAGAACGCACTTCAAATTCAAGTCACTGGAGAAGAAAAAACCATTTTTGAATTCATCACTCGCTCAGACCTCGTCAAAGAATATCAATTACTTTCGAATAATGTTTGCAAGCACAGTTTTTATAGATACAGTATATATTTTTAGTGCTACTCGCCAGCAAATTTTGTTTAAACTCACAAAATTTCATTTGAGTTTTTTTGCGGGGAAGGTTACATTGAAAAATTATTTCTCGGCGCATTTTTTGCGTGCAAAATTGACGGCGTTTTTTACTTTGAGGCAACATTTTTCAAGTACCCTGCAAATATTTGCTGGGCACGATCTTGGGAATCTTTAAAATTTTTCAGTTATTTTTGATGATGCGGAAAATTCACATCTCGTTCATGTCGCTAAAATAAGTTCTAGAAAGAAAATGTCGTCTATAATGAATTGTTCATCCAGTTCATGGACATCAATTTTTGCATCCTGTTTTTGTTGTTGTTGTTTTTGTCAAAACTCAACCTTTTAAGAAGATTCCCAATTTTGTAATGAAAAATGGGATTCTTCACGAGTTTTCTCTATTTGGTGATTCTGATAATTTTTTTCCCCTTCTGCTTGTAAAACTTCTCAGCTACAAAATTCCTCAAAATTTCGCGTCGTCATGAATCGAGTGATTATGTCTTCATGGCCAAAAAAAAAAAACAAAAAACAAAGAAAGAATTATGTTTTCAATGACTCATTCCATGCAATATTCGCCAATTCTACGATCAGACAATGGTGGTAATTTGTTGCGGCGGCGCGGGAGGCGGCGGAAGTCTGGGCGCCGAAAACAGAGGCGACACCTTGGCTGCTGCTGAAGCAGGGTCGTCCCCGGCGTCCGGCGCCTTGTACAAGATGGGCACTCGGACGAGCCGCCCCTGGGACGCCGCCTGGGCAGCAGCCATGTTGGCGGCTTCCAGCTCGGCCGCCAGTTGCCGCTTCCACTTGTTTCGGCGGTTCTGGAACCAAATTTTCACTTGGGTTTCCGTCAAGTGCAGACTCGCTGCGAGTCCCGCACGCTCCGAGCTGGACAAGTACCGCTTCACGTCAAAAGTTGACTCCAGCTGGAACACCTGTGAGGATAATATAGTGCAGTACTTTCATGAGGGTACATATTATATACAGTACTCGTGTAATCATGTTCAAAGGTTAGTTGACTCGGATTTGGGACCTCAAGCTCACCAAAATTGAAACAAAAAATTTTCAATTGATATTCAATCCAGTGAGACCCAGAGATGCAGACGTAATTGGTGCATCAAGAGTGTCCCTAAGTTGAAATGTCCCTAACTTGAGTCTCATTTTCCCTTAGACTTACATTATATAATTTTTATTGGGTGTTTTATGGACAACATACTCACCATAGTTCCATGAAAATAAAAATGGTATCCCAATTTAAACTGATTCTATCAATATATTTGAACACAATATGGGCATTTGGGGAATTTCATACTGATACCTCTGTAAAGTACACAGAAATGCTGGCATTCTCTGTTAAAAAAAAGTATTCAAGTGAAAAAGAGAGAAGGAAGTCCCTCTATGCCTGAGGTAATTTTTTAAATTAGGTAAATGGATGGTAAATTGGTGAAAAAAATGCCCAAGAACTTTTCTGACATCAATTTTAGGGTTGGAAATATTTGTTTCTTGTAATGTGGCCTGAAACTTATTCATAATTTCATCACAAAATGTCCCTCTGCTGAGGCAGTGTCCTCATGTTGGGCCTTTTTACTAGTTTTTATGGGAAAATATGTGTCCTTATTTTGAATAGTCCACAAGTCAAGGTGTTGGCATGTGGGGGTCTTGCTGTAGTATTACAACTAAATTTTTAAAGGACAGAACCATCAAAATACTTCTGGGCACACCTTGATGGATGTCAGAGAATGCTTTCCCACTGCATGTTGATGACAAAAATTTTTGTAGCCTAGTTAATTCAGGTTTGCGTGGAAGTCACCGAAACAGCACATGAACAGAGAGACAAAAGTCTGGATGAAAACTTTGGGTAAACTAAGTGAGGACATTTTGCCATGTCCAACAGACCACCATAGATCATCCCTTCATGTGTCCTTTTTGAAAAAAAAGTGTCCTGGAGAGAGCTTTTTAGCAGTCCCAAAAGTTTGATATATTCAGACTTGGGATATATTCACCAGTTCATATTTTCTTCAAATTTTGAAGAAAATCATACATGTCAGATGCTTTCCAGTAGTATTTTGGGGATTGTATTTTCTTTTATTTTTGTTATCCATTTGTGCTCTGTTTCCTGCTCTGAGGTGTTTAAATGTCTTTGAGTTGATTTGGGTTGGGCTGGGAGGAGGTTTGGATGGGGAAATCTTGATTGAACCTTGTGAATGCTGAAAAGTGGCAAATAAAGTGTTCTGTTCATTCATTCATTCATTGAAGAATATGTAAATGTAATTTGAATTTTCAGCCATGTAAAACTAAGGTGTGACACTTGGGGCTACATTTTCTGGCAAATTTCAGGCAAAATAACAACGGTGTGCATTTTCCTCAACTCAAGTAAAGTTGTGTCTTGGTTGTGCCTTGTGAACCCTGAAAAGCGGCAAATAAAGTGTTCTGTTCATTCATTCATTCAAGTAAAGTGGTGTTCAAGTAAAAATGGGATGTTACTGTTTATGCATGAAAAGGACCACCCATTTCTTTGCAGGTTTCCGCTGCTAAAGATCGAACATCCCCTTAATTTGACCTCCACTTTTACAATGTGTACAACAACAAAAAGGCATACCTGACTCCGACTGAACACGGTTCTAGTTTTCTTCTTCTTCCTAGCAGCGGCGTCCAGCTTGTTCTTGTCATCACCGACGCCTCCCAGCGAACCACCGCCCTGCTGCTTGTCACCGCCGCCGCCACCACCGCCTTTGTCCTCACCCATGCTCAACACCGCGTCATCGTTGTCCCCGTCTTCGTCGTCACTCTGATTACGATGTTGTTGTTGTTGTGGCTGCTGGTGGTGGTGCTGGTGATGGTTGTGGTGATCGGACAACTTGGCATACGGCGACGAACACTGGTCTCGGTCTGATCCAGCTGCTGCAGACATGGAAAGCTTGTCAGCCAACAGGGTGTTGGAGGGTTCCGGACTTCCCATTGACGACACGGGCAAGTGGAACCCCGGGAAGCGGCCCGTGGAACCCGTAAAGTGATGGTGTGCCACCGAGCCGGTGTGTGGGAAAAACTCTGTGGATTTTGACATAAATCGCACGATTTAATTTTTGATCAAATACTTGAAATTAAATATTCGATAAACCGCCAATCTCTTTAAACCGCCAAAATTGCTCTGAGCAAATGGTGGCGTCTTATCGGGGGTTGACTGTACTTGAGTAAATATGGTATTGTACCATAATTGAAAACCCTCCATATAATTTGTAAGGCAGAAACATTAAACATCTGAAATTCCAGCCATCAGCATCACAAAATGTCTCTTGAAAAGCACAAAATCCACAAGAAATTTTTAAACAGGCCTCAAAACACTATTTCATTTGCGTACAGGTAGGTGGTACCTTGCAATTCAACCCTTATATCCATTGCTGCACTATGGTCAAATTGCAAAGCAGTTAAATTGCAAGACAATGTAAAATGTCATGCTTTCTACATGGGATTTAATATTTCATGCCTCTCTGCAGTTCAAATTGCACAGCAGGGGTCAAATTGAGAGTTGACCTCCCAGCAAATTTAACTGTTGAATTGTGGGATGCTTGAATTGCGAGAGGTCAAATTTCAAGGTACTGTCTGTCTGTATTGCAGGTCATGGTAAAAAAAAGCTCATAGCCCCAGTAGATTGCTGCTAATATTGATAATGCGGTATTTAATAGAATTGAGGAAGCGGTCCAATGTTAATTGAGCAATTAAAAAAATATCCGGTTTCAGCATATTAAATCAAAAATTTTATTTTTATCATTATGATGCATATTTAATTTCACGGTGTCATTTTAGTTCTTCACTATGAGACAGGGTACAATTAATTCAAAAATAGACAAGAAAATTGAGTCTTCATAAAAAATGCATTTCAGATTTTCTACCGCGATTTTTCTTAGTTGCATTGCTTGTATTTCTAAAAACAAACCGTACGAAAATCAGAATTATCAGATGGTGAACGGGTGTCGAAAATTTCTCAAAAAACATTCAAAACTCATCTTTACTTATCATTGGAAGGTGGAAAACATGCAAAATACGTCTAATGTAACCCTTTTTTTGTTTTTCGATTTGATCACGAATTCATGATGCTGTATTTTTAATTTTTCACGGTTCCTTCCTCGTCGTTTCAGGCCATGTACAACTCGAGGAAATGTTTTAAAGAACATATAACATCTGATTAAAATTCTAAAAGTGTTGATCGACGAAAGGAAGTTGGGTTGGTATGAACCACTCGAGCTTACATGTTTAATGTATAAATCGCATTCCTTCAAGTAAATACATTTATATTCGTGACAAGAAATCATACACATAGCCCATTTATTGCCAAAAATTAGTCTTTGACTGATATTCTGTGACATTTTTGGGGGCTTCGTCGTGCGTGAGTATCTGACAGACAAAAAAGAAAAATATGGCGCATAGCTGAAATTAAACTCTCTATTTCTATTTACTTTTTTCTTTCGTGCTCACCTGAAGAAGCCGAAGCTGGGTTCACATGTCCGGCCCCGAGCAAAGCACTCATGTGGTACCAGGGCCACAGAGCTGTTCTCTGCTGATGCTGCTGCTGGGCCCCGTGGTGCTGGCTCTGTTGTTGTTGTTGCTGTTGCTGCTGGGAATAAAGCCCGAGCAGCAGAGAGTTTTGCAGGGCATTCAGCTCCAGTGCTGCAGCAGGGCCAGTTGGCACTAGTCCCCCGAAGGCAGACCGGATGCTCCATGGGGCAAGACCCAGTCCGAGTCCGGGTCGGATGCCGAGACCGGAAGCAGTCGGGGGAGCTGTTGGGGAAGCGGATTATTCACATTTATTGGTTATTCGTCGTTGGTTTCGAAGGCTTTTTGAATATTTTTTACATCACAACAGTGTGCAGTTAATGGCTGTAAAACAAAAAATAATAATTCCATATCGATCATGACGACGAATTTTGGACAGATTTCGTCCCGGACGAAATCCCACAGAACCAGTACGTGCAATAATTATTATAATATATACTAGCAATAATTATTGCTAAGCATATAATCTTCTCACGATTGAACTTGATGAAATTAAGTATTTTTAAACATTTTTTTTCCTTTCGCCCGATCGCCACTAACTTGTTATTTGAAATTCTTGATAAAAAATTGAAGCAAAGCTGTTTTCCTAGTCCCAATGGCTGTGGTGTAACAAGATTTTAGTGCATAATATAGTTTTTAGATTCTGTACAATTTATTGATTGTTTTGGCGATTTTTTCATCAATATTGCAATCATTGGATTTTCTGAGCTTTCCTTCAAATTACATCTGAAAAATAGTTAACAAACAGTACAGTACAGTACAGCACGTATGGATTGCTCAAAACAATAAATGAATCTGACACAGCTTTTGGATGAACGTTTCAACCAGAAAAATGTTATTGCTTCTGCTATAAAAAAATTTGCATACAGTCAGTTATATGAAGCTTCATCTTCTGTGGACATCTTCTGATTCAATTAAAAGTGCTTTTTGAAGGATTGCAAATTCATGGAAGATAATGTTAAAATATCTCATGGGAAACTCGTAATGAATTTGCAATATCTTTTTTTTTTTTACTCCATAAAATTTTTCTTTATTACTGTATTTGTTTTATTATATTGAGCTTAGCAGCTGACACTTCGAAGGGCATGAATATATTTTTTCAACATAAGAGTGCTTGCTGTCCCTTTATTTCTGGTTGAAAAAAAGATTGCATTTTTGAATGGGATTTTTAAAAAAAATTTTAGGGGGTGTTCATTTGTCATTGTCTGTGTTGATTATTTATCTGGCCTATTTTATTTAAAGATCAATCTCGCGCTTCTTACGGTTTTTACTACCCTGGCAAGTAGCTTTACATCAAAGTCTCAACGATAACGAATCATTTGGCTCTTCTGCAAACTTATATGGTGATTACAGTATTTTTTATAAGAATGTGGAAATTGTGATTGCAGGCTGGGGCAGGAAATTTTCCCGAAGCCTGTCGCTGTTTTTATTTTCTCTCTGTTCAAAGAACCACTGCGATTATCCAGGATTCTTATTCGGAATTTGGGCGGAAATTCGAACAGGATTTTTCAGAAATAGCAAAAGCTATGAATCCAAACGTAACTTCGGTTAAAAGCAGCTCAATTCAATTTCTTTCAAGTCATGAATGCTGCTAAGTATCTTTCGTGATTCATTTTGATTTGCCATTTCAAAATTTTATCTCTCACAATTGAAACTCGCTGAAGTGGGAAAGAGGTACATAAGAAATTTTCAAGACAACGGATTACAATTTATGTCAGCAATTTTGACTTCATGAACTTTTAAATGAAATTGATTGTTCGTTTTCATATCACTTATGCATTCATCACTAGAAATTCATACAAAAACAAATAGCAAAATACGGAGTCCTGAATTATTGTATGTTGAAATCCAACTTCAAACGAATTATGCCGAAGAAGAGGGAAGGGAAAATCACTGCAGTTTATATTGGGAAAATCTGGATGTGACCAAGATCTAGATAACCTTGACAGTGGTTCAGTTTTTGTAAAACGTTCAAATACAAAAAAAAAATTGCCGAAGATTTTCCAAAGTTTACTGAAAGAGTTCAACAAATTTCACGTTACATGAGAAAGTCGGAAGATCAACTCGTTATAATCAAATGGTGCTTACCTGGGGAAATTTAAATGAAAAGCACAAAAAGAACATTCAACTCATTAGCTGAAAAGGAAACCATGAATAGATTCTCAAATCAATCAAGGTTGTCAGAGACAGTTTTGTGGCAACATTGCATACTGGGGTTTTGATTGCTTTGACGATCCAGTTTTGCAGTCTTATAAATTGACGCTTGTGGATATTTAACACAGCCGATTTTTCAAACCGTGAACATTGAATATCTAGGCTTCTAGATGGCATTCAAGTGAGATGTTGTATTCAAATTAATATATATAAATATTTTCATCCAGGACAGAAAGTCTCTTTTCTTCCTATCAGCATCTCAAGACCATTAAACAGTCTTTACTTTTTCCCATTTATCACATTTTCCCCATAAATTACCAAGAATAAGGGAAAATTTGGAAACGTTACTTTTCGTACTCGAAACTTAAAAATGTCTAATTATTCTGCGTGTAAATGTTTATCCTGTTTTATGCACAAACATAGGAGAGACACATATTCACGAACTTTTGAGCATATGTTTGAACACCACAAAGCTAAAAACGATGACAAAAACGGGATAATTTTGAAAACCCCATGAAAAAGATAGTAAGACAGTCTAATTCAACCTCAATAAATCAGTGGTTTTTTCGCTCAAGAAATATAATTACTGCAGTGCAACAACAGAACAGCATGCTGAAGCAGGTTTTGTTTTTTGCCGTCAGCCATTATATCAACCTGAAATATTCAGGAATAATTGGAAATTTCCCTGGCTGAGCTCAGACAATTTCTTTTAGAATTGGGTCACACTGCGCAATTACATTTCAATGATATCTTGTGTGAAACCAAAATGCACTTGCATATTACAGGTGAACCTTGATAACTCAAACCTCCCTAAGTCAAATACCCCCCTAAGTCAAATTTTTTTCAGNCACACAAAAAGAGGCATGCACCAGAAAAATTCTTGAAGTGAAAAAATTGATGAAAATGTTTCACATCAAAATTTTTTCTTTTGCAAAACAATGCTCAAATTTCCACAAGTTTTGAGCTATAAAGCCTTGGGATTAACCCTTGGATGGCAGAGGGTTCTTTTTCATTGTGCAACAGAGTCAGGATTTTTTTGGAGATGGAAAATTTCTGTTTGACTTGAGGTCACTGAAATGCTCCCAGGTTGAGAAGGCCTAAGTTGGGAAAATTCAGGAGGCAAATTTTGAATTATTTTCAGGATTTTGCCATGCAAATCTTATGGCAGGAATGCAGAAAAAACACCACCAGGTGATTTTTTATTTAATTTTGTATTCTGCCAGATTGGAAAATCATAGCAGACTTTTCCCCAACTCAGGCCTTGGTACAAGAATATATCTTTTTATGCACAGTGCTCAGTGGCACAACATTTTGCAAAAATATCCCCACTTTTCAACACAAAGGAGTGTCAGGGAAAATGACAAAAAGCATGGTCTTGCCTCTTTATGGCTGTAAAATTTCTAAAATTTAGACAGTTCAAAAAACAAGCTTGCCACGATTACTGATATTTATTCCTGCTCAATTTATAAGCCACATTTTTGTGTTGAAGACTTGATAAGATACACTGCTTTTAAGGTTTTTAAAATCTTCTGATGAGTTTCAGAAACAAATTGAATTTATTTCAAAATGTATCTTTGAGGGAAACTGTGCTTATCATGAAAAAATCTCAAATAAAACACGGTATCCAGGACACAAATATTTTGTTGGTTTTCTGATTAGTTTTACACTTTTTTGTGTAAACTGCAAGACATAGTTTGCTCTTAAAATTCAATCTCTTCTGTTGGGGTTGTATCCTCCAACAAATACACCTTCTTCTTAGGATCAATTTCTCTTGGTAATCTCCATTGGAAAATTGGATAATGTACATTATTCCTTCAACCCTGAGAATGCCACCTTGTTCTGTGGAAAACATCATTGCATCAATAAATCAAATGAATTACCTGTTATAGTTACCATGCAATATTGAAGAAAAAAACAAATAGCATGCAAACAGACTAGTTAAAAGTACTA